GTCAAGAAGGATTAAACCGTACACAGCTCCGTTAATTTAGTCCCTGCTAGGAATACCAGAATATAAAGCAGTCCAAGCTCAGCAAGATGTATCTTATACTGTAGCGTCGACGAGGAGGTTCTTTGTTTCGCTAATCTCAACGGTAGCCCACAGATAAAGTTGGAAGGACTTCTTCTCAGTTGAGCCACTTCAGTACTTGTGAACATTATGTCAAGGGACGAGAGCCAATGCGCTTTCAGTGTTTCTTCTTGCGGTCGCTTCTAGCAACTTTGCGATCCTCAAATCTCACTCAGAATACGTATGAAAAGGTTAATTTACCATTCTTGAACAGAGTATCGTTTCATTCTCCAAGAGGTACTTAAAATAAAATTTTATTGTTTGTTTTACCTTCCTGGTTGATATCTTCAAATATCAGGTGGCTAACATAAAGAATTATTAATAAAATTGCAAATTTATTACTCACAATTAAATAATACAAATTTTAAAATCACTTTCAATTAATACAATTGTCCCGAAATACCGATTGTCTCTCCCAGACAAAAAACTTTAAGTTGTTTTGATGAGTAAGTCTAAACCAATATAACCAAATAAATTAAAAAAGAAGGAGTCGTTACGCAGGTAATATAAAGATACTGAACATTATAACACTCTATAAAATATAATTTTGTTATAAAAATTGATCCTAAATTCCTAATTCAGAAATTGAATACCAGGAGTCTAGAAATATACATTATATAAATAAATAAGGACCAAATTGAAGAGGAAGATTGCTATTCCTTGTTGGGACTGATACTCAAAGTGAATACGAGTATATGACGATGATCTTTCGTTTCGGCAGTCAAAGTGTGAATAGTCTGAGATCAAATAAACATGCTCCACGGACTTTCATATAAGATGTACTATTTTGTTCAAACCAGTATCCCATGTCAAAAGATCTCTCATATTCTTGCAAGAAATTTCTGCCATAGGGAAAACAAACCTTTTGAAAGAATCTTCTAAAACTAATCGCATCCCGACATTTGAATAGTGTCTACTTTCAAAAATTGCATAAATGAAGAGGAGAAGAAAAAAATCTTGAAAGTAAAGCGTTTTAGAGAAAACTGGGAAATAAAAAAGTTGTTTTCCTTTCAAGATATCTTTGGGGGTCCGGAACATAAAAATCATCCTGTACAATTAAATCATTAAAAGTTTAGAATATAAATAAATTCTACAGAAATAGGTCGGGGTTGATATGCAAACGTGTATCCTCTTCATTATGAATAGGACGACGGCTGGTCTTCGATCTGCTACTTTCTCTCATCCAGGGTTATCCCACCTTGTAAAACTTTGTGCGCACCTCGAGTGACGTTGTTGCAGTCCTGTACTATTCCTCCCTGTGTAAAACAGTCGTTGGTGTGATTAGACTTTTGTGCAAAGGTGTGAGAGTAAACTTTACGCGGATCTTCAACCTGGTTAATGTTGTTTTCGCCTGTCAACTTCCTCTCGTAGTGAAATCTCAACGTAATCTTCGTGAATCTTGTCGTTTCAGCAAATGTCTCGAATCACATTTTCCTTGTTCTTCTTTTATACGTTATATTATCGCACCATGTTGCTATCTTATTTCTTTAAATAAATTTTTAATTTCTAAAACCGTAATTCAGAAGTATTCTTACGTAGAAAAAATACAGGACTTAATTATTCCAATTGAAAAATACGATTTATTTGTCCTAAGTAAATTCAATTAAAGCAGTAAATTTTCTTGGTAATTAAATTACTGTTGGGTTAAGTAAATCACATCGTTCAATAGGAATAAGTTAACGCATTTGTTGATCTAAGGAAAAGTTCATTTTGCGTTTAAGTTCAAGAAACACGTGCACAGATAAATTCGCTTTTATCTAAAGTTTTTTTTCACGAGATAATGAAATTCTTAAGTTTACTGTCGAAAGCATGACTCAGGGGACAAAGAACCTTAAATTTGATCACCTGAGGATTCGCTGATCGTACGTCTTATCCAACTTTCCGCTAACTTGGATCAATCGGCATGTCTTCAACTTTCCCCACTCGAATTGCTGGAGTTTCAGTCTAAAAGGCATTCCCTCTTAGTGCAAAATAAATAAACTAATTTCTCATCAGATCTGCGAAGTCTTTGAAAATTTTCTTCATTTCAACTTAATACCTATTTCTGATTAAGGCAAAACTTGTTCAACAACATAATTACCAACACAAAAGTCTAATTATACTTTTTTGAAAAATAATGTTCTTTTTCTAATGGAGATCAGTGGGATGTTATGAATTACTTAGGCACCCTAAGGTGCGTCAATCAATTAAAAATTCAATTAAAAATGTCAGAGTTTTTAAAAAAGTAAATTCTAAATTAAAAAACAAAAATTAATTATAATTTCAATGTCTACAATTCAATTTAAAATCTAATCAGATGCGCATGAAACTTGTCCTCACGTTTTCTCCTTTGTCGTAAATTCTGTCGCCTATCCTGGTAACACAAGCTGTTAATCTACTGTGAACTTTGCAGATACGTAGGTAAAGAAGCGAAAAGTGGTTCGCATATTTGCATTCCACCGTTTCACTCACCATAGTTCACACGTGCACCTCTGCACGTATCTCAGCTTCTTTTGAGAAAGAATGTCCAGGCAGTTTGTCCTGAAAGCTCACGTCGATATCTTAAACCCGCTAAAACCTGAGAAATACAAATAGCCTCCCAGATATATATGACATTACATCCTGAAAGAAAAATTTCTTTTTCAAAGCGGAAGAATTTTTCAAAAAAAAAATATCCCAGTTGAAACATTTCACTCCAAAATTAATGGTTTAGAATGAGAAAGTCAATTCAATTTTTAATAATATTTTTGGTATAAAAATTTACTTTTACAAATGGAGTAAATATTGATTTTTAAATAGCATACTACACCAAAAATTTCAAGAAGTTCCTTTTTGAAAACGTATTTTATTCTAAATAATTGAAAGACTAAATAATAGCTGAAAGTATTAAAAAAGCCAGGTACCAAAATTTTTAATTAGGAAATAATCGCGCCATTTTCAATCAATATTTTTTTTTATTATATGCAAGCTTTTTGCATAAAGTAATTGTTTGTTATTATGACCTTTAGTATCTTCCTGAACGATGTATGTATAACGTAATAGAGTTCAATTTCCAGGAATAATAGGGATATGTGATACCGGAACAGCATGGTGAGTAGGTTTTTACAAACTGTACTATTGTAGTCGTCCGCTATCGCTTGATTAAACTAAATTGAGTTTGAGTACATTAAAGACGTAAACATAGAATTATGTGCAATTAATAATTATATTGTTTTAGACACTTCCAAATATTCGAACCATTATCACGGGAAAAGAAATTTTAAATATTATAAATAGCAATTTTAATGAAAATATTTGAGATATAACAATTAAATTACTATCAAATACTTCAGACGTCGAATGATAAATTTTCTTTTAATTTTGTTAACGACTTACGCGTGTTCAACTTGGAGTCACTGGAACAAATATTAGTTTATTCTTAGGCCAATTCACGGCACAATAATGGTTTAGATTTACTCATCAAAACAACTTTTTTTATTAAGGTGATTAGTCAGGTGATCTCTAGAAAATGAACACCTATCTGCGGTCAGGTGTACCAAATACAATTTTTGTCAGTCCTTTACCTCTTCAATTGAGCCTCCTCTGTTCAGTTCAGGCCTTCCGGTCAATGACCTCTTCCCGTCAGGTCTCAATCGTCACTGATTTAAGCACTTGATCCCTTCTTCTTGCACCGTCTCTCTCCCTCTCTTTTCCTTCTTTCATGAGTGTCAATTTTCATTGTTCTAGTCGGCAACAGTATTATTAAATTTTTTTTAAAACTTAATGAATTTCAATAAAACCTAAATATTGTTTGACGGTATAAATATAAATAAAATTATTTATAATGGTAAATAAATTTGAAAAAGTAACATTTACTGAAATTTATTTTTTAATATAAAAGAAAGCTTGATTCTTGACAAAACATTATAAGAGATGATTCCACAATAATAATTACCGCAGAAAGTGCAATCAGTGAGTACGGCTATAAAGAAATTGTGCAATAACTTCCGCTTGCTGGTGAACAAATAAACTTGAAAGCAAAATGTACTGTTATTATTTTCTAAATCTTTACTACTGATGGTGTCTTACGTTTCTTTCGATTGTGATGCGAATTTTATTGTTCGGAATAAGAGAAAAGTAAACCACCCATTTTTTTTTAATTTAATGAGTATTTTCTTCGCGATAAAATTAATAAGTTTTCCAATTATTTGAAAAGCAGAGATCAATTTTAATGTTGAGAATATGAAAATTTTTATTAACGACTTTAAGATAAATTTTTTTATTAGCAAAAAGTTATTTTGGGGAATATATTAATGTTTACAATAGAAGAGTTAAATATTATATACTTTTAAGTTGATAGTGGGTACTTTAAAGTAGAAAAATAACTTTATTACTTCGAAGAAAAAGCTATTGCTGCATCGAATGGTCTGCCCTATTCCACGAAGAATTCAAGAGGGAAGTTATGAAGTTTCAAGTGTTGACTCTAAGGTACAAAGTACGCTTGAGATTTATTACAACGGTACTTTTTAAACCTGTGGAGAGAAAAAAACGTATGGAAGAAATTACCCGCTACCTTTTGCTTCGTCGCTAAGCGAGCTTCAAGTTTATGTTACCTTTCAAAGTTAAATACAGAATGAAACTGAAGATAAAGCGAAAAAACAAGAAAAAAAATTTCCAATATCAACAGGAACTGTTTGTACCATAGCAAGAATTTAGTTTCGTACCAATTCTTATAGTTTACTTTGTTATAACGTTTTATTTGTCATTGCAAACATGACAGAACTTTAGTTAAAAAGGTATCTCACTCATTGTACTATTATAAGACAATATTATTAAAATTAAATTTGTAAGTCATTAAATGAACTAATTAAAATTTTAGATGATAAAGTAAAAAAACTTGCAAACAAAAATAATGATATTAGAAAATGAAAGGTCTTGATCCAGGATTGAAGTTGGCTTTCGGTGGTATGGAGTGAATACTGGACAACAAATTAGTCATTAACACAATGGACAAGCATATTAAAATACAAGCTGCTTCTTTTTGTTGGCACACCCAGGAGAGCAAACGACGAACAAAAAATGCCCACAATCCAGTAAAATATTACAATGATAGATACTTTAATGCATAAAAAAGGCGTACCTTTAATTAGGTAACCAAAGCCTAATGCATTGAAGTCATCGAATGTCAATTAAAATGTGCAAATACTCGTTCACTAGATTCGATATATTTTGCATGCCTGTGACGCCACACGAACTGCTCCTATTTCACCGTATGACACTGAAGTAAATATAGTTTGACAGATTTGACAAGTTGCTGGATAAATTCGTTTGCCTGGAATTCTTGAATAATCGAGATTCACATCCGATTACATGTGTGCCAAGAAGCACATTCCACGATGATTTTCGCTTATAATACGTGATATGCTATGACAAAACTAACAATGGTTGTCAAGTCTAGAGTTTAGACGAAGTTTATACTGGAGTTCAGATTTAGCGAAAGCTACACCAGTTGACTTTGGTCAATTTAATTTTATTTCGATAATCTTCTAATCCAGAAGAACAAAAAGACATTCGAGAACAAAAAGCACAATGTTAAAAAATATTTGACATAGAACGAGGTGAAGTTAATTCTAATTAGATTTAATATCAATTTTGGGAATATTGATAACATTGTTAATTAATTCATCAAACTCGTCCTAAATTTAACGGATTAGTTTAATTAAATTAGGAACTGCGGTAATGTATTATACCAGTGAAAGAGATATTTTATTTGAAATGGAAATGAATTGGTGAAGGCATTGATGGATTTGATTACAACAGATATGTTATGTAGTCCAAATATTCGATTAGCAAAATTCATTATTACATTCGATTAATTATTCTCAATTCCGTGTTGCATGAGTAACTCGATAAAGTATACTTCTTTTGTTCATATAAAGGTAATTGGTGAATTTATTATTACGAATAGTATTTCTGGCTGAATTGAGAAGGAAAGTGTCAAACATAAATTTCAAGAGTTGCTTTCGAGGAAGACAAATGCATACCTGGTTCGCTGGTTGCTTGCCACCCATCGCGCACTACTGAGGTAATTGAGCTTGTTTCCTAGGAAGCTGGGATTACGAGCTCGCCAGACCTTCGTGATTTGTCTTTCTTCAAAGTTTCGACTTATCGAATCAATAGTGAAGTCACGTAATGCCGCCTGCACACGTCCCTAGATTGCGCCGAACCTCTAATAAAAGCAGCTGTTGTCGCTAACCGAAAAGTACAAAGTCTACACGTACCTCATGAGATGTCGAATGTGCCCAAGAATAAATGGGGGGAAAATGTTTTTTTATCATTAAAGTTTTTATATTTTTACATAGAGCCAGAAGTAAGTAATTTTCTACTTTTCTATTTCATTTAATTAATTTTTTGTATCATGGGTAGTCTAGCAAAATATGGGCATTGTTGAGAGTACCCCATAGCAGGTTACAGAGGCTCCCTGCTTCATCTCTGTGGGTCACCTGCGAACAATAGCAATTACTGCCGATCCAAACAAAGGTCAACACAAGTATTCATTTTAAGAAGGGTACACCAGTTGTAACTGGTCAGGTGGCAGTCAAGCCACACAATTGGTGTTTCCATGATGTCTTCCCCTTCGGTATTCCGGATTTATTTACCTGTTTTCACACCTCTTCAGATTTTCTTCTTCGAAGACGAGGAAGGATAGCAAAAAGAATATTTGTCCAATCAGCAAAAATCAAAGTGATCTAGCTTCAGTATTAAATTATCTTCTATTTGAACTAAAATAGTTGGACAAAAGTATTATTTAAACTACTTCTTTTGAAAGTAGAAAAGAAACTTATAAAAATTAACAAAAATTTGGTTTGACTGTTTCAGATGCATCGCACGACCTCCATCACCGGCACCGATTTGCAAGTGCAGACTGAAGGCGCACCACAAAAATTGTTATAACTTAGAAGAATTTCAATATTTTTTAATAATAAAAATTGTTTTTTTAAGCTGAAATATAGTAGAATATCACCTAAAAATTTCGTTTACTGCATTCATTTCCTTCCCCTTCAAAAAAATTGCTGAAAAAACGCTTTTTTCAGCTTCTAAAGGAGACTACTGCCTTTAACGTGAATTTCAAACACGAGACATCAATTGTCTCTTCAAGACAAAAAATTTTAAGTTTGTTTTGATGAGTAAGTCTAAACCATTATTATGCCAGTCGTTGGATTGGTCCTAGTTGTACAGTTTATTAATCCGCTAAAAAACCTATTAATTATTTTTTTCTATCCAATTTTTAGATTCTTTTTTGAATCCAGAAAAATTCAAAAGATCCAAAGAAAAGTTTAATTTATTCTAGTGCCCTATTCCTTACTCTCCCCTCTTGACTATTTGCAGATTTCGAAGTTTAATATCTGTAAAAATATAATTAACATATAAAAATATTTTTAGTATACATAGTATAATTTTTCTAACATAAAAAAGAACTTTTCTTTTTTTATAAAATGCGAAAATTTCGTCCAGACGAATATCTTTTACATTTTCCAGTTTGTTTTATATACCCATGATGAAGTATATACGTCAACGTATTAACTAAGTAACCACACCCAGTTCACTCCCTAATAAAAAAACTCCTGGTATGCTTTTAAGCTTTTCTTCCACAATTATATACTTTTATATACATACATATATATAGAATATATGCGCCACTTTGGTTAGACTATCCATTATTTTAATTATATTTTTAAAAAAATGAACCAAAAGAGAAAATGGAACTTTGGAAACAGTTTTAGTTTCACGAACATAAGCTCCAGAAAGACTATAAAGTGCAAAAAGTTTAAATTAAAATATCCTATTCTCACTTTGCGCCTCAAAATGCATCCTATACTTTTTTTTAGTCGCTTAATAAAAGTGCTTAATTGAAAAATGTTCACTCAACATTATTAAAAACTTTTTAACTTAATGTGTGACTTTTAATTTTCATTTTAACTGTTAGTTGAAAAATTTATATTTTTAGAAATTTTTTCATGCGCAAAATTTTCTCTTTTGAAAAGTACTATGTATATAAATGCGCGCTAGTAAAAAAAAGTGAGCAAAATTGTAGAGGTCATTTCTTTGCAAGCGAAATTCTCCCGCGGGAAATGAAATGAGACAGAAGACATCTTCTTCTACGAAAAAAATAGAAACCCTTAATTATTTTTCCTTTTGAAAAGAAATCGCAACGTCTCTTTTTTTCTTTTACTTGTGTTTTCTCCTGTACTTTCTCAACGCCTTTTCTTTTACGAAAATGGTTAATTACTCTAGAAAAAAGCATTTCTTGTTTTTTCCTTTTTACATTTTTGTTACTTGTTTTTTTTTTCGACGGAAAAAAATTTGGTACGAGAGTCTCTTTATCTTATCCCTTGTAAAACTTTTCACGCTGTATTTAATTAAGCACTTAATTTCCACATTTTTCTGTAAAGTAGAGATTTAAAAAAAAAACAGTGTAGAAGATTTTATTTTCTTTTAAAATTTTCGTATATTTTATTCTATTCTATTAATTAGCGGTAGTAAATTTATAATTCTAAAATTTAGGTATTCGATTTAACAAAAAAGTCCAATTTAAAAATTTGTTTTACTTCTGAATAGAATTTAGTTTATATAGAAATTTTATTTTTTTCGAAAAGCGAAAGAACTCTTAGTCTATGAAAAAGATGTCTAAGACGAACATAAAAAGTATTGGAATTACTTAATTAAATTAACACAATCAAAGAATTTATTTATTACACAATCAGCATACAGGTCAATGGATACGAAAGGTAGTTGAGTCAGTCAAACGAAAAATTAATCGTCGCGTCTCGCTGATAGTTCAATCAGTCGTCATAGAAAGCACAATTATCAACTTGTAAAAATTTCAAGAATTTGCCAATTAAAATCTTAACTCTTTTTTCAAGTCCAGCCATTGATTGAATAAAAAGTTCATTAATATTGTTTTATAAGTAGACATATACAACAATAAATCATTAAAAGTAGAATGACGTATGAAATTTATATAATTAAATAGATTTTTCAGTACGAATAAAATATTTTATTAAAAAAAGTAATTAAAAAACCAACTTTATTTCTCTCTCTTTTTCAAACTTTACAGATAGTTTATCTTTTTTTTTCATTTCGAGGATCGTAACTTGTTTTTGTTGAAAAAGCAGTTTTTGTTTGAAAGTTATGATTTTTTCGATTAAAAGGTTACTATAAAAAGAGTTTTCCAGGGAGCCTTGAATTCAGAAACTTTTTTCTGTGCGACAAGAATTTTTCTTTTCTTTTCTTCTGTTTTTTTTGTTTGTTTACCAAGTTTACGAAATGATTCTTCTCTCTGTGAAAAGTATAGCGATGCTTCTTTCCTATTCCTGAAATTGCCACTTTCTCTACGGTGGAAAACGTAAATAGAAATCTGCAAAAAGGATTGAAACGAGTGTACGTTTTGTATTTTTCGTATATTCACACACCCATTGTTGTATTCACAACAACAAAGACATATTTTTCAAGTTTCTACTTATTTTCTCAGTTATTGCAGATTTACAAACAAAAATATGTAGTAAACTCTACATTTCTCGAAATAACCCGGAGAATATTTCGAGAAAGTTATTATTATAGTTTTTAGAAAAATTTTTCCAATAACTGAAATTTCAAAAGCTTTCAAATTTTTTCCATAAAATTATTGGAAATTTGAGGAAGGAATTGGACAGAAAGTAGTAATATAAATTTTGATATATTTTTGCAGTCATTTTGAAAAAAAATCAGCTGGTACAATACTGGTTTAGACTTACTCACCAAAACAAACTTTCTGGTTGAAGGCATAATATTTTTCTTGACGTTAAAATTTCGAGGAAGTTCGATATGATTGTAAGGACTGTTATGATTTAAACTTTGTGAAATATTGCTTTAATGACAGTAAACCTTGATATTTAAAAAAATCTGCTGGTAAAATACTGGTTTAGACTCACTCATCAAAACAAACTTTCTGGTTGAAGGTATCATATTTTTCTTGACGTTAAAATTTCGTGGAAGTTCGATATGATATTGCTTTAAAACAGAGAATATTGAAATAAAATTCAAATTCTGTATTTAGAGAACCATAACTACCTTAGTGATTGGTCTTATTCAGTGCTTAGTTAAACTAACCAGTTTGCAGCAACTAACGCATTTGGCGCTGAGGCAATTACGACACTCCTCCGGATATAGAAGCACGCGGCCCTCGAGAAACAGACTGTGGTCCATGGGATAATCCAATAATTCCATTACGGCATATTATAACGCAGCAAAGTTACATCTCAAGCATCCACTCGTTCCAAATTGCCTCAGGTGTTTACTCAGCACTACCGTTGACAAGTAAGCGCCAGTCAAAATACAACTAAAGTGACACTGGCTTCCGAACGGAGATTCTATCGCAGCTCATAATTCAACACAACAATAAACAATGTCTATTCAATTTCAAACTTTAATTTCACCCTTTAGCACCTAGCGTAAATTTTTCAAATTTATAATAAATTAAACAAACCATAAAAGGGTTTATCTCCAACTGAGATATTTAAAAAAAGGGTATATTGTATTGAAACGACCTTTTCACTACCTACAAAGATGTGGATTTCATAACACAGAAGTAACAGTTTGCTAAAACGGTTAAAAAAAGGAGTTTAACAATAGAAGAATCGAAAATATTCTTTCATTCATGGCAATGGAATTTTATTTTTTAAATAGTAAATATTCTCCAGTAATTGGAGCATTGATTTTGCATAAAGACGTAAAATTTTTATATTCGTAGAGAGGATACAGAATACGTATGACTTGAATCGATACTATCTTTTTTATGTTCTAGAAAAGTAAATATGAATAGAAAGTTTTATATAGAATATTTACTTCTATTCCTGATTATATCCTGAAACATATGAGAACGTCTAGTTTCAAAAACAGTGCCAAATAGGTTGAGTCGATGTAGTAATTTTTTTTTGTACTTGATTTTGCTCTCAAGGAATCTATCCCTGAGGCTACAAAAGACATACAATGATATGTCAAAAGCCTTTCTTTCTATTTTTAAATTTTTCGATTTTTGGTTCAAATTATTTCTTTAAGAATACCACCCTAGTTGGAGCTTAAAAAAGTTTGAACTTTTGTTCGATAACTTAATTGAATAGCCATTTGATTGTAAAGCAATAGAATAAAAATTTGTTCAGGGTTTTTTATTTAGAAGAAGACCTGACCTAAAAAGAGATAATTCTCAATTACTTTAAACGATTTTAATTTTACCTCTACATTTCTTAATCAACAATTCAGCACTTTTTACTAAAGCTTCTCCTATCTAGACTTTCACTTCTAACGTGAACTTCACAATCTGCTACTAAATTCCCCGTTAAATTTGTTCTTTATCCCAGTTCTCAACTTTAAAGAGTTTTAAAACAGTCAAGATGGTCTTGCCCAGTGAAATAAATCAAAAGAAATTACAAAAGTAGCAAGAAAATTATTAAAGATTAATTGCTTTAAATCTAATGTAAAATAGAAAAGAATTTATTTTGTCCAAATTAATAAATGAATAATTTAATAAACTATGCAATTAAGACAAATGCAATGCCTGGTACTGTAGTGGTTTAGACTTACTCATCAAGACAACCTTTCAATGACTGGTACTGTAGCGGTTTAGACTTACTCATAAAAACAACCTATCAATGACTGTTACTATAATGGTTTAGACTTACTCATCAAAACAACTTATCAATGACTGGTACTGTTATGGTTAGACTTACTCATCAAGACAAACTGTCTCGATTTTTCTTTGGCGATATGCTGTTGTTAATCCAAAAAAATACATTCAAGAAAAATATTTCAATTATTTGTTTTTCTTTCGTATTTCTCTTACTTTCAGATATTTTTCAATATAGAATTTAATGATGAAATAAAAAGTGTGAAAAAGTTTTAAATGAGCTTCTGAGTATTTCTTGATATTTAAATACTTGAATGTATTCGAATCACGTCGCTTGATAAAATCACTTTTGTCCAGTAGTTTGAGTTTGTTGGGAATGATCTGATTCACTCCCAACTCCCACCCACTGAGTAAATTTGTAATGCAAGTGGCATCTATCTTGCCATTCTCGTATTACGAAGAAGAGACACTAAGGAGAGGACAAAATGCAAACCATAAAGCTTGAGGCACTCCACTATGGTGAAATTTGCGATCCAAATGTCGTACTAGCTTTGGAAGTCCTAAAAAATCAGATCACGTGTTGATCTAAAGCTTTTGCAATCTCTCATTTCCACTGTTCTATTTTTTTCCTTTTCCTTTTATCCGAACTCTGTGGAACGTACCTTTAAAACGAGAGCAGTTCTTTACACGTGGCGCTTTATCGAGGCTTCACAAGACTCTTTTTTTTAAGTGTTATCGAGCTACGAACGCGAATGATATGTTTACTTCCAGAAGGTAATGTTTAGTAGATAAAAGCAGCTGCCGTTATTTGGACCGTTGTAAAAAGATGATAAACTTTATATATAAAAAAAAAACATTTTATGTTATATAAGAAGATGAAAAAAAAATTATTATAGTACGAAATGTTCAGAGGAAAGTTTATTAATAAATAGTTTCTGAAATTCTTACTGTAGAAGATAATATTTGTAAAATGGGAATTTTCTCTTTACAACAGAAAAAAATTTCTCCTTGGGTAGAATGTTAAATTTTTCAACTCATTGTTGTTCCTTGATTTTAATTATTGTTTTTAACGAATTTCCAATATGATATAAAATTTTTTTAATTTACACAATATATGTCTGTATACAGTTTCTGAACATTTAATAAAAACTATTTTACCTTCACACTATCAGTTCAATTTATAATTAATATTATAAATTTTATACCTCCATTTACTTTATAACCTTCTACACGCATTGAGCATCAATGAACCAAAAATTAATAATATTCGAACACACAATGAAGTATAATAAATCAATTTTGGAAAATGTCTGAAAAAATTATTTCTCTCTCATCCGTTTTAACGCAATTTTACTTACCATATAACAGTTAAATAATATTCACAGATTTAAGTACATTTTTTAAAAGTTTTATTTAAATTAACCTAAATTATTTAAACAATTCTCTCAATTGTGATTGATCAATACTTACTATTGAAATTTTGTTTCAAAATTAATTTATCTCTTATTCTATATTTTGGAAATGATATTATTTAGTAATTTAATAATTAATTTACAATTACAATATTATAATACCTATAGTAAAACAAACAAAACAACGTCAATATTCATTTTACAAAATTTTCATGTCAACAAAATTTGTTTGGTTAAGTTTTACTGTTTGGAAAATTTAATTTTGTAAAATTTTTATTTGGAAAAAAGGGGAAAAATTAAAAATGTGTCAAATAATTAAATGTCAAGGCTGAATTTAAAATATCAATGGAAAAGAAATTCTTACCGAAAAATTCTAAAGAACTTGCTCTTCATAGATATTCAGGAAAAATTACAGACAAGAAACGTCATTCGAAGAAAGCAGGAGGAATTAAATTGGAATTGCCTAATCATTCAAATGCAGAAGATGCACGAAAGGAGAAATTTGAGAATTTCATTTATTATTCCTTGTCTCAAAATGAGAGTCGATCACTGTCAAGAGATTTTTTGCTCAAGTAATTAAAGAAATATCTTTTCGTTTTTATTAATAAAATTACTTGAATAATTTAATTCTATTCTTGTTTCACATTTTCTATATTTTTCTATTATTACTAAAAGAGTAAATTTTATCATTTATTGTGTATTCTGATATTTTAATTAAAAAGCATAATTTAATTAAATTAAATTAATTCCAAACTTAAATTTGATTTGATAAATAAATATTTATATACATATTGTTTATTACATTTTCTATGTTTCAATTTAATTTAATTAATTTCTCGTCCAGTAATCTTTAAAAATATTTCATTCTTCCTGAATTTCTTTTTCTGTTTTTATGCTTGTTTTCCTTTTAAACTTTGAAATGACCACGAATTTCGAATACAACCTTAAATTTTTGTTATTTCTCACAATAATTAATTTTTACAGAATATGGAATTGAATTTATTCGAAATAATTTAATTCTTAGAGAACTATTATAAAATTCTTACTTATATAATTTATTTAACAAATAATTTTTTATGTAACAAATTTTACTTAAAATTTTTTAAAATAATTGAATTTTAGAAGCTTTGCCTTTTGAAGAATAATTGAATTGCATAATAAGGTTTCAAATTAAAATTTTAGAAAATTGGAATTTTAAATAATATTAACAGAAAAATTCAAAAAAAGTTTGTTTTTGAAAAATTCTTATTTTAATTTCTTTGAAATTAAAAAAATTAAAATTGTGGTTTTACTGACTGGTACTGTAATGGTGTAGACTTACTTATCAAAAAAACTATCTCGAGTCTACTTTGCCGATATGTTGTTAATGCAAGAAAAAATAAATACATTCAAGCAAAATTTTTAATTATTTATTGTATATGTGTAATTATTAGTAAAGGGATAATTTTTATTCAGAGACAGAAAAAAATGTTAATAAAAAAATCTCATTCATATTAAATGCGCCATTTTTAATTTTTTAAATTTTACATTGACTTGGCAATCTGGTAAAAAAAATCCTAAAATCAATTAAAGATGACTGGTACTGTAATGGTTTAGATTTACTCATCAAAACAACTTATCAATTACTGTAGTAGTTTAGACTTACTCATCAAGACAAACTATCTCGATTCCACTCTGGCAACAGGAAAAAAAATACATTCAAGCAAAATATTTTCATTATATATTTATAATTATTAGTAAAGAGAAAAATTTTATTCAGAGACAGAAAAAATTCCTGATTTGTACGAAATTAGAAAAATAATTTAAAAATAGTTTGTAGCTTACCGCAAAAAGTTGTTTGAAGAGGAAGGAAAGTTGTGTTACTTTGATGAACGCAATTGTGTGTTATTATTAAGACCTGTTTATTTCAATATTGATCAATATTTTGAAAGCATTTGTTGACTTGTCATGAAACGTATGTATATTTTCACCATCTAGCTGCTGCTGCTACTGCTGCTCTGGCAATATCAGAGTGAGTGAATGAATCTTGTCGAACGTTGTCGAGTTTGAAAAGCGCTATTGATTTATCCCACTTTAAGACTCTATGTATATCAAGCGGTCACGTGAGGCGTGACGTTTCGCAATCTAAATCGACATCTTAAATTCGACATTTACATTTTTAGAAATTTCCGTAATTTTCGTACACATTCCTCCCTTTAACTTCCGTCTTATGTTCTTTAGAACTCGTGGTTCTTTGTTTATTAACAGAAAATGCTTATAAATAGCCACTTGGAATAAATTTATTTACCTTTACTTTTATTTTATATTTTTTTAAATGAAAATTCTTGTTCCACATTAGTTCACTTTAGTGGAGCCAAAGGTACTTTCTCTTACAAACGATTTTTTTTTTTGCTTTCGCGATATTCGTAATTGACAAAAATTGATATGAAAATAAAAAAAGAAAACTGCGTTATTGCTTTTTCCAAATTCACTTCTAGAATGAAATTGATAAAATAAAGAATTGGGAAAGAACATTTATCGGGAAATTAATATTCTGAAAACGAAATTAGTTTTTCTACGTGTTTGCTTTAAGAAATGATTTTAAATCCTCTGACGCACTGTAGGAATTATTTTCTCCGTGTTTTTTTCCAACATCTTTTTCCCGGCGAGTGATTTGCATATATTTTTTTTCAAAATACTATTCGAGAATTTCTTCTACGGTATATAAAATTGGAAATAACTTATAGCTTTTCTTCCAATTGCTGACATAAAATATTCTTCCTTTTTTTCCCTCTTTCATTTTTTTTGCACCAGAGAATTCGTAATTAGAGATAAAAGTGTATTTTTCTTTTTTTTTTGGCACTGCAGGAACAATAAATTTGTTTTGAAAAAAGAAAATGCCGCAACTTCATCGAGTGAATGGAAGAAGGATAAAGAAAGTTGTGAAAATTTGTCGACAGAAGTACTGGTGAGAAAGGATAGTCCCATTAATCCATACAATCGACTTGAGTATCCTCGAGAGCAGTGGTTAACACCGGATGCGAATGAAAACACAGTTGTTGCAATTTCTGGCGTTGAGCACGAAAACTCTATCAAGGCACACATGTTCCTGTGTTCTAAGTCATCAAAAGAATCGCTAAAAAGGGAAAATTTATTTTCCTCCCCTTCAAGAGTGGAGAGTTTTTGCTTTAGAAAGGAAATTATCAAGAAGGAAATTTGTCGAAAAGTGGAAAATAAAGTTAAGAATGCAGTCAAGGTAAATTTTTTATAATAGATTATAAAAAAAATCTGTTACTAGACTCGCTCGAAGTGCATCATTAAATAAAATTATTCTTCTTTAATTAAAATAGTTTAAAACTATTTTTAAAAATGTTGTTAAATAAAACATTTGTTGAAAACAGTTTGAAACAGTTTGAAACAGTTTAAAAATTTTTTTAAAAATTTCTCAATTAGTTTAAAACATTTTTTAAAAATAGTTTAAAATAAAATTTTTATAAACAGTTTGAAATAATTTTATACAAAAAAATATAAACATTCTTTTTTGCAAAAAAATCCGATTAATATAGAAGCATAAAATTTTTTTTCTTTTCGAATACAGAAACATAAAGTCTTTTTAATACGTGGGGAACTACCGAAATTGAGAGAAGCTTTAGAAAATAGAGGATGGATCCAGAAGTACGAGAGCAGCAAAACAAGATCACTTCCATATGGTTAGATTTTGCGCTTGAAATAGTTTCTTGAGTGGACTTTCCGTTGTCCTTGGTAAAACACGAGGAGATGCATACCAAAGAGGCTGTTATTTTGGCTCCATCTCGTACCACCACCTCCTTTTCAATTCAGTTTAAACGTCGTTTTGTGAAAATCTAAACGCTTCATTGGAAAATTTTCTCACACATAATTTCACTCCAATTGGGTCTTTAGATTTTTTTTCTCTCTCTTCCTCCCAATACTTTGTGTCAATTTCTCTGCTAAAAAGAAAAAAAACACATAAAATCCAGTCAGAGAATTTTTTTTCTTTCCGTTGTCACTTCAAATTTTTTTTCTTAATTTTCCATAAATTTTTTTTTTATTTTTTGTAATTCCTTCAACTTTTGTTTTAATTTTTCATAAAAGAAACTTTTTTCTAATTTTTAATCTCACTTAATTTGTAATTACTCCACATTTTTTAAATTTTTCATAAAAAAAAACTTTTATTAATTTTTAATTTAACTTTTTAATTACTTTACATTTTTTTTATTCAAAAAATTTATAACTTTTCAAATTTTTAAAAAATAATATTTAACACTTGGTCAAAGGATTATTATGAAATAAATATAAAATATATTTTTATGGCATGAAAAATTCAAAATGGCGAATTCAACATGTCTGACAAAATTTGCAAGATTTATAGGTTATGTAAGATTTCTCTCTGGTTTTTGGGGTTCTTGATTATTAAAAATAATTTTCAGTTTGAAATTTTGGGGCATAATGAAATTATGAGTAAATAAATAAACAATTTTTTAATAATAATATAATTAAATAATAACATAAATAAACGTCATTAAAAATGGATTCGAAATTTTTGAAATTATGAAAATTTGATAAAAATTAAAAAAGCGTTGTGTTATAAAAAAAAACCTGAGTTTCAAAGTATTAAGCTACGTAATCCTGGACCAAAGTTTAAAAATTTATAAAAGGTATAATAAAAAGTAGGAAAACAAAAAAAAATAAAAAACGAAAAAACTTTTTCATTTCGAGTAAGAAAATTTATGGCATTGAAATTAAATTGAAAGTCGTCTTTTTTCAACACTATATACTTCTTTCTTTTTTTTCAGGTCAAAATCCATGCTTAGAGAGCAAATCTCTAGGGGATATTCAACAATCCGATGGTACATTGAATGAGAAAGCATTAATTTTCGCAATGTTGTGTCACACAGATCCGGACTTCATTTGGGACTGTCGCAATAATTTCACTGAATGGGACAGCAGTATAAAAAGCAATATACTTTTGAATAGATTACAGAATTCAGCTACCTATACATCGAAAGTATAATTTTCTTCTTTTAAAATTCAACTAAATACCCTGCTGGAAGTGAAGATAATTAAAGATAATTTTTTTTTTGAAGAAAATTAAATCTTTGATTTCTAAGGCTTAGGTTTTCAAAAACGTACATATTTTAAACAATTAACTCTTTAAAAAAATAATTCTGAATCGTAAAGTTCAAAAAATTGATTCATCAAATCTTGAAGATCGAAATCTTGTAATTCGAAGTTCATTATTGCCCTAGGGTAATAATAAGTACTTTATTGATCATGATTGGCACTCATTATCACCCTAGGGCAATAATGACCACTTTATTGTCTATAATTATCCATTATTGCTCTAGGGTAATAATTAGTACTTTATTGACCATGATTGGCACTCATTATCACCCTAGGGCAATAATGATCACTTTATTGTCTATAATTATCTATTATTGCTCTAGGGTAATAATGAGTACCTTATTGATAAAAAAATTTGTTGTAGCACTGAATAATTTTTCTGCCTCATTCTACTTTTTCCATTTGAGTTGACAATAATTGATAGAATTCGTGAAAAATTAAAGAAGGCGTTGAAAGGAAGCACTGAAACAGATGAGTTTCAAATTTCGTAACTTCTAGCGGGGTGCAATTGAGCCATAAAAGCACTATAAAAGCAATTGGATTTTATGATTGTAGCTGGGAATGGCGAACATTTTACAAGACTTTCAGTGGTTATACGAGCAGGACGTAGCAGATGTCAACTTTCCACGTAGCTTCAACCCTTCAAGAGAGCTGACCGACTTCATAAAAGATTTTCGTCGAACAGCCGCAGCGGGACTTTTGCGATGGTTCGTGCAAAGCGTGGACAAAGATTGTGATACACTTCCACCGATGTTGGACATTGCTCATGTGGAATTTGCTCTTAAACGCTGCGAGGAATATGTAGCCGAACTGAAACAGGAGAATATCGATCATCACGATTCAGAAGATATCATCAGTGAAGACGAATGGAAATGCTTTTGTGATGATTACAATTCACTGCTTAAAGTGGACGAGAATTCCAGTGGCAATAGCAGCAGTACCAGTGGCAGTAATACTACGATGAGCGTTCAATCTGGATTCAAGGTGTGAATCTCTCGTTTGGGATTATTCTACTTCTACTCTTACTAACCCTTGTTGCCGTTTCTTCCGATTGTTCAATTATCCAATCTCAAGAGCAGCTTAGGAGAATCTGATCCGTTGGATGAACAAGTTTTGTGGTTTCAACTAACACCTTACTTGTTTGACCTAATTTCCATTTATCTCTATTGTCACGAACCATTGTTTTCCCGCAGATTTTCAATTTAGACTTTTCTCACTCACATTTCGTCTAATTTCACAAATCTCCTTTTTTCATCGAGAGCATTTCGATTTGTTCAAAATCTCTAAAAGAATTTTCTCCGAATTCAAAAGGGAAAAGTATGCGATATTTCTTAAAATTGAAAACCAATAATTTCTGATGTGGAATCGACAACGACAAAATTTGAAATATTTTCATAGTTGAATGCTCGCATTGATACTTGTTAATTTTTACCATTTTTGTAAATTCCATAGGTGAAATAAAAAAAAAAATTGAAAAAAAATTTATTACTGATGATAGGAGGCGTATACAGCGGCCGTTTCTATATTGGAACAATTAAAAGAAGTCGATTGTCAGTACAATTTAAATGGAACAAGAAATGTATGGATTTTAAAACCAAATTATCTATGTTGTGGAGTTGGAATCAGTATTTCACATAATCTAAAGGAAATTCAACAGCGTGTGGAGGCAAAACCGAGGGATTATTTTATCATTCAAAAATATATTGGTATATAGATAGATTGTGTGCCCAGTGTGGAGATATAAATTACAAATAAACTAATTTATCAATGTTTTGTAATTTTCTAGAGCATCCATTGTTAGTGCAAGGCACGAAATTCGATATTCGTTTATGGTATCTCGTGACGTCGAGTTTTCCCCTCACAATATGGATTTTCAAGTAATACTTCATATATAGAATATCAAATATTTCATATTTTCTTCGATATACACATATTTTTACAATGTGGTAATAAAAAAATTAATTAAAATTTTCCACTGGAAGATTCTTTTGTGAAAGTTAAATTGAAAATTTTCCGAGAGATAAACGTTGCCTTGGCTGTGGGGAAAAAAAATTATAAAAAAAGAGACTTTTGTATTAATATTTTGGAATATTAAATTTTTTTTTCTATGAAAATTACTGAGTTGAATGGAGAACAATGTTGAAATCTTATTGTTAAAGGGAAGCGCTTCTTCGATTCAGCTCGAAACGCTATAGCTTTTCTTCGTACCATGAAGTGATTCACATCTGTAACACTGCCATTCAAGAGAGGTATGACTATGAGCGGCGAAGGAGAAGAAAGAGAGGCGATGTCGTCGAGACCACAGAGACTGTTCGAGATCAAGGATGGGATTGCGAGAAGCTCAACGAATGTTTGAAGTAATTTTCTGAAAATCGCTATTCTTTTTTACCAGTCGAGGGATACTTGCTTAATGGCACGTTCCGTTTTGCACGATTCCCCAGGGAAGCTTCACTGAACTCGAGGACTTGACTCGAATACGTCCTCTTTAATATCAAAAGCTATGGACGTGAAGCTCAACTCTTAATGTTTCCCAAGAGAATTTTACAAGGCGTTAGCAATTAGATTATTCTTACTTTGTTTCTCTTTTGATACTTTTCAAAATATTGTCAATTTTTGGAATTATTTGTAAATAATCTGTTTTTGCAGAAATTTTTTGTTTTGCAGTTATGAAAAATGTTTTCTGTATGTTCACTTCACTTTCACTTCACTTTTACTTCACTTTTACTCCACTTTCACTTCATTCTCACTTCACTCCAATACCACTTTTACTTCACTTTCACTTCACTTTTACTTCTGTTTCACACTATGTTCACTTCACTTTCTCTCACCTTTAAATTCACTCCACTCTCACTTAACTTTTACTTCACTCTCTTCTCTTTCACTCTACTTTCATTTGTCAATCAATCCACTTTCACTTCATTTACACTTCACTCTAATACCACTTTTACTTCACTTTCACTTCACTCTAATACCACTTTCACTTTATTTTCACTTCACTTTCTTCGTTCTTTCATTTCAATTCTAAACATCTTTCACCCCACTTTCACTTCACTTTTACTTCTGATTCACACTATTTTCACTTCACTTTTTCACCTTTAAATTCACTTTTACTCCATTTTCACCTAACTTTTACTTCACTCTCTTCTCAATCACTTCACTTATATTTGCCAATCAATTCACTTTTACTTTATTTTCACTTTACTTTCACTTCACTTTCATCTAACTTTTACTCTATTTTTATATCACTTCCGAAGTTGAACTGCAATTAAAGCGACGTGAAATAAAAAAGGAGTGAAAATGTAATTAAAGTGAAGTGAAGTGAAAGTGAGGTGTAAGTTTAACTATAGTGAAGTGAAAGCACCGAAATAAAGTGAAAATGTACTTGAAGTGAAGTGAAAGAGAATTAAAAATGAGGTGAAAGTGTTACTATAGTGAAGTGAAGGCTGTGAATGTGAAGTGAAAAAAGAATTAAAGTGAAGTGAAAATGAGGTGAAAGTGGAATTAAAGTGAAGTGAAAATGAAGTAAAAGTGGATTCAAAGTGATGTGAAAGGGGTAAAAGTGAGGTGAAAGTGTAACTATAGTGAAGTGAAAATGTAGTGAAAGTGTAATTGAAGTGAAGTGAAAGAGGATTGAAAATGAGGTTAAAGTGTTACTATAGTGAAGTAAAAGCTGTGAAAGTGAAGTGAAAGGAGAACTGAAGTGAAGTGAAAATGAAGTGAAACTGGAATTAAAGTGAGGTGAAAGTAAGGTGAAAGTGGAATAAAAGTGAAGTGAAAATGAAGTAAAAGTGTATTTAATGTGAAATGAGAGGAGTGTAAGTGTAACTATAGTGAAGAGAAAGCTGTGAAAGTGAAGTGAAAGTAGAAATGTGCTGAAAGTGGAATTAAAATGAAGTGGAATTAAATTGAAGTGAAAATAAGATAAAAGTGGATTTAAACTGAAGTGAAAGGAGTAAAAAAGTAAGGTGAAAGTGTAACTATAGTGAAGTGAAAGAGGAGTATTGAAGTGAAGTGAAAAAGGAGTGAAAATGAGGTGACGGTTAAAATATTAAATATTATCTCCTTTCCACAACAATATTTTTTCCACCCTATTTCTAATTACCCTTTTTCCTATCTCAATTTTTCACTACTGAATAATGCAAAATCCGAATAAATACGTTGGGGTGAGACACATTTTCATTGAAATTAAAGAGCTTTATTTTTTATCAGAAGAAGTTCTCTATCCTCTACAGGATTGAAAAAAATCGATTTTTAAAGAAATAAATATATTTTCAGTTTACTTTGTTTGGGAAAAAAATGATACAAAATAAAAAAAATACGGGAACAACTGAAAGAAAACATTGAAATAATAGTTCAGTACAATGCTGACAATCCCTCGCCACCAAAACGTTATTTGCAATACGCGTAAAAATTCAGTTTATCCTTCAAACAAAAACACGAATAGTGAACAATGCTTATATCACGTAAACAAATCTTTGCCATGAAAATAAAATGTGCAAAACCTTATGAGCGTTTGCTTAATGGAAATGGAATTAAAATAATAATAAAATTTTGAATTAACGACCACCAAAGATGGATTGAGAAATATTAGCATTAAAATCAAAATAAAAAAAAGTTACTTTTTTCCAGTAGTAACAAAATGAGAGGGAATCGTAAAAATTCGTAAATGTCATTTTTCAGGGTCTCCCTATTTCTCTTTGCATAATTTTAACATCAAGCCAATCAATATTATGTAAAGAAGCATCATCATCATCATGCCTGATATTCGAAATTGCATGTTTCGTAACCACTTTATGATAGTGTTCTCACAAATTAATAATGGATTGATGTTCATTAATTCTTGTTTTTAGTAATCGCTTCTTGTTTGACCTACAAATGTATGATCGCAGTCTGAGTATTTCAATTTATAAACAACTCCTGTTGTGTCAAATTTGCCAACCGAATGTTTACCGTCAATTTTATATAATTTTGGTTTACAATCAAAAGTCAACTTTTGGACCCAAAACGACAAAAAAAGTTTTTAAATGTATTTTTTAAGCTAAATTCAAATCCCTTGTTAGTTATTTTGAAATATTAAAATCAGACATTATTTTCGTAATCATCGACCCCAATAACCCCCGAGTAACAAGTTTCAAGCAATTCTGATTGATTTTTAACTGTTTCGTCCGCCATATTGCATCCGCCATTTTGTATTTTAAAAATCCGACTTTATATTCGTAATCAGCGACCTAAAAAACCCCTGAGTAACAAGTTTCAAGCAAATCCGAGTGATTTTTAATTTTTCGTCCGCCATATTGGAACCGCCATTTTGAATTTTAGAAATCTGACTTTATTTTCGTAATCAGAGACTCCATAAACCTCTGAGTTACAATTTTTAAGCAAATGCAAGTTATTTTCATCTTTTTCAACCGCCATGTTGGATCCGCCATTTTGAATTTTTAAAAACAGACATTAGATTCGAAATTAATAACAAAAAACATGAGGAATATTTTTATTTAAAGACATCTTTTGCATTCTGCTTTTCGACACCAAAAATTTGATTTATTCGACATTTTTATTTATTGAAAAAAATCTGGTGGCCGATAATTGAAAATTTTATTAATTCAAAAAAACGTAAATAAAATTTTTAATATTAAAACAATATTGTTTGATGATTATTTAACAGAAGTATGGGCTATAATGGAGAGCCTTTCTACGACACGATATATCCGAGAATGTCAGAAGCAATCGTGATGACAATGTTAGCAGCACAAGAACCAATGGATAAACGTCGTTGTAGCTTCGAATTATATGGCGCTGATTTTATGGTTATGGAAGATCTCTCTGTTTGGCTCATAGAAATTAACACCAATCCCCGAATGCACCCACCGAGTTCGAAAATCACTCAACGACTTTACGACTCTGTTTTGGACAGCCTCGTCAAAGGTATACACACACATGAATCGATACTAAGTCCCAACTAAGCTCTCCTCTCCTCTTTAATGCTCCAACGATTCGAATTTAATTTGTGACCGTGTAGATAGGGTGTTTCGCAATGCTTTGAAAAGAGGCGCCCTAATCCTAGCCAAAGCAGAACTTGAGATCATTTCCGAGGGACAACATTTTAAATCGGTTTTCATTGACTCAGAGGGGTTTGTGGATTTCTAACAAGATACCGAGGGATAGTTATCAGAGGGCGAGAGACCCTTTCAGTGCATGAGCTTTAGAAAGGCAATTTATCTCCCGCTTCTTTTTTTTCTCACATGACCCTGTTGCTATAATGTTGAGATAAAATTTTTTTGCCAAAAAAGGGAATTTCTGCGTAAGATTTAATCAATTTTGACACGAATTTTAATGGGATTTTGATATAGAGGAAATATTTTTTTTTTGGGGAAAGAAGCGAGGATCTGTTTCACAATGATAAAGCTGGTTTTTCATGCTAAAATATACAATTTGCCATTCAGTCCTTTGTCAAACTGTGACAAAGTTTGTGTGGCTTTTCCAAAAGCGTTCCGTAAAGTGATTTAAACAAAATTTAGTGCCAAACAGTAGTTTGGAGAAAATTTTGCTAGGTGAATGGTGAGTGAAATGGAGATCCAACGGTTGCTGAAAAGTGGACAATAAAGGGAAAATAAATTACAGTGGGCACCAAAAACCTTCTGCTGTCCCAGAATATCCTTTTGGGAACGTTCATCAATCATTTCGTAAAAGTCGTCTTAGAGATATCCTCCTTAAATTTATTTTTATCCTCATATCATAAAAAGGATCTGAAAAATATTCTAAACATGTTCTAAAAAATCTAGAGTATCCTAAACAGCTCCCAAAGATGTTCTAAAGATCTGGGACAGACATATGGGTCTTACTGTCCCACTTTTCCGATTCGTTATTAAGTTAAAATTAACCTATTCCCCAAATCACTTTTAATTGCTGAATGACAACAACAAGTTTCGTAATTTTTACTTCTCTTCTCAAATGAAATTCATTAAAACGAATTTCCAAAGTTTGGAAACATATACGGTCAGTGGTAGACAGAGAAGGAAAAGCGACTTGTAAGGTGTCATAATAGAAGGAAGAGAGAATCTTGGCTTGAGAAGAGGCGAACTGGAAACTAGATGTGCGCTATCAATAGGGAGGAAACCCAAACGTCTTACTCGATTCAAGACGAGGATCAAGTCTCTTGAGCTTTTCGTAACCTCGGTTTCCCGGCCCTTTCAACGACTTTTCCCAAGATTGACTCATCGGAAATCGCGAGACTTGGGGAGTGAAGTTAATTTCAGAGTTTCGCCAACTATATCAACTCGAGAAAGTGGTTGTATGAAAAAAAAAGAAATTGAAAACTGAAACTTTTTTAAACTACTAACGTTTACTGAAATCTCAAATTTTTCTATTCAAATTAGATAGCTTTTGGGAGTGGCTGGCTTTCCTTTTTGTTGTGATAATTCCCCTGAAAACAAACAAAAAAAGTAGTTCTATTTTTAGAAGAATGTTGAAAGGGAAAAAAACATGGATTGTTATTTTTATCTTTATGGAAACATTTTTTTCTTGTCTTTTTTTTTCAGTAATCCTGGATCTACCTTTGAACCCAAGTGCCGACACGGGAGGATTTGCTTTAGCGTATAAGCAAACTACACCAGAGTTTCGTCCATATCTCGGGCCATGTTTATTTGCCGTGGGCAAGTCGATGGAGTTACATGAGTGTCCTGAGAAGAAACAGGACGATAGTCAGGCAATCATTTGTAGTCCTTGGAGCAAGGAAAATCGTGCTCGGACTGCCCCGCCTAGTGTCTCTCGCTTGAGGGATCCTCAAGTCGTTGACTTTATCGACTATTTAAACTCCGAGGGCTGAGCTGCTGGAAACTTAATATATTCTCACATCAAAAGTAAGTTACCTTAATAAACTTATACAGCATCAATGGAATACTTTAAGGATTGTAACAAATTTTCTCCAACAAATAACTAAAGTGATTTTTATTATCTTGTGGCATCGATGCGGGAACTTATTTTACTATTTTTGATTATTTTCCTACTGGGGAGATGCTTCTTGTCAATCAAAACAAGAAGGAGATTAAAAGGCTTATCTGCAGATAAGTCCGCGTCATGTATCAGCGCTTTCTGTTTGCTAGTGAGTCCCAGGTGAACTAATTACTGAATTACAGATTCTGGTTATCTGCGGTCGATAATTATCCGCAGTCGGTAAAACAGAACACCAATTTGTCACAACTACTCTTAGAGCTTAGTTTTTAATTGAAGATGGACGCTGCATATTAAAATAAAAACTGCTTCTTTTCGTAGGCACACCCAGGAGAACAAACGATGACAAGCACTATTTAAAAATGACCACAATCCAGTAAAATATTACAATGACCAGCTACAGACTGATAAATTTAAAAAAATTCAAATTTCGAATAAAGGTAGACATTTCAATGCCTGAAATAGGCGAACCTTTTATTAGGTATCAAATTCCCCAGTAAAGTCTTAGGTCAAGTGATTTATGGAACACCCCAACACTAAAGCTTACAATGCCGGACCGTACTGTTAGTTTATATTAAGAGAGACTTAGATACTAAGTAGTTTAAGTCACCAAGAGCTGGACACCTATTTTAATTAGCTTGCAAATAATCCTCAGCTGAAAATTTTATTTCCAACTTCAGCCCTAAGTGAATAATTTTAATCCTACCTTCTCTTCTCGAAATAATAATTTTATAGAATTACAATGTTATGGATTAAAGATTTCATTCTTTTTTTAAATGTTATATTCATTTATACCATACTTACACAGGTAAAAAATTTATTGTTAAATGCGGCAAGCTGAAAATCCAATAATTATTAAATCAATGAAGTAAATAGACGACGAATTCAATTTAAAATCAGCGAATCAGACGTTATTCAGCTAATAAGAATAATTAATGAAAAATCAACAAATGATGGGGGAGTCAATCGATCAGTTCGAGAATCGACTTATCAATCAAGTCAATTAACTGCTTTTCAATAAATTATTTAATCACTCTAATACCAATCAGTAGTTTAATTAATTAAAAAATTACTTATTCTCTTAATTTGTCATCTCGGAATGTAATTTCTTTTAATAGAACAACTAATTTTAATCCATAATTTTAATAACAATTAAACTTTTATTACAACAAACTTGGTATATTCTAATTTGCAGACCACTTGTTTATATTTTCCAAAAAGACTCCGAGATTTAGAGGCTTTTGAAAGAAATATTTGAAACGCAAAATAAACGAATCGATTCTATTTTCCGCAATCTGTTCTTCGAATGAAATTTGTAATTCAAACCACCACTTTTCAGAATGGAGCAAAATGTACAAACCAAATAAACTATTCAATTACGAAATCTTTTAGATTGTTAATTTTCAATTGCTTTGTTCCATTTTTATTTGAGTGTCGCTACGGGCTTTTATTTTTATTATTTCACGCCAAGATTTTCAATTTCCTGTTCAGTGACACAGATGAAAAAAAAAATATTTAAAAACTTCCTATGTATAGAATATTTTTTTTAAAAAGAATTCTGTTTTCAAATGATAACATGTTTCATGATGCTGTTGCATATGATATAAGAAAAAGATCTTTTTAGAAATTTTTTTTCCCAAGAAGAATCGCAACAGTTGCGAAAGGAGTCTTTTAGTTTAACGAGAGACACTTTTACCGTGGTGATCATGAAAATGCAAGCAACTGCTGCGTCGAAAGAGAAGAATTCCAACGTCGAGTCTTTTTACCGTGAAAATACCTGTATTGGGGCCATGAGAGAGCAGAGCACTACCGAATCGTAAAAGTTTGCCACAAAATTCCTAAAATTTCCCTCTAAAGTGCGATTCTGAATTGTGGAATTTCCGCGCACCAATAAAAATAACAAGTGAAAAGATGCCGCAGAAAAGTCGATTTGCAATTTTCAAACGAATTGCGGTAACGTGAATTTAATTCTCGATCAGTTTTTCAAGAACTCGAAATTTCTTGTTAATAATTTAGATTTTACTTAAGGGGATTAACATAGTGCTATCGGATATTGTTTCTTATATCGTAGTTACTTTGGCAATTCAAAAGACTTGATGTTTTGAAGGTACCCCAGTCTTTGGTACCATCCTTTAATTTTAACGCGGACTCCGGATCTACCACAACGTTCGGAATTTAATGATTCTACCATTGTTTCTGATTTTTATTTATTCGTGCTTAACGCGAAAAAACTTTTGGATTTCCAATAATTAATTGAATAATTAAGAGGGTATGGGACCCTCACACCACAAAGTTTGAAGCCAATAGGTAATTCCGTGGGTTGAAGAATAGTCCAGATTAAGACGGGAGTGGTTTTTAGGGGGTCGACCAGAACAAGAGTGATTATCTCCACATAACCTGAGATTCTTTATCCAGGTATCTGAATTCACAGATTTTCCACTTCTGACTATAAAAAAAATAATAATCCAATAATAAATCCAGTAATTGATTCAGTAGTTAATCCAGTAATTCAATTAGTTATTAATCTTGTAGACCATCTAGTAAGTTACCAGTAAGTTTCTGTTAAAAAAATTTACTCACATTAATGAAATCATGTACTTTTGGGTCCTCAATAATATTTTCAACAAAACATCCTGACTTGTTGGAAAAAAATTCCTTTTTCCACATTATCAGTTGGTGTACCCCAAACTACAAAAGAATTGAACACAAATTTTTAAGACAATCTGTTTTATTGATATGTACATACAATAAATTTATTTACACTTTTCGATTTTTACCAATAATGAATGATATCATTCAACAAAAAGAACTACACATTCACCGACAACGGGTTGATATATTAGAAATAATTTTTTTTTTTGGTCAGAGCTACGTGAACGAGCTGTCGATAAAATTGCTATACCCTGCACACTGTCTTGTTTTTAATTCATAATATATCAACTGTCGTTTGGCGATCCCGATCATGAAGATCGTTTTAATTAATTTAAGAATTGGATTTAATTATGACTTCATATAAACATTATAGTAATTATCAAGATTATAAAACACACTGGATTTTCTCTATTGTAAGAAGTGCTCCCTTCACCGTGATGCATGGCAGCTGGTTGATCCTCTGGAAAAAAATAAAAAAAATTAATTTCTAATCCTCTGCAATAAATCAATCAATTACAAAATTTTCGAAAATTGTTTAAACATTCGAATTTTCTTATTTCCAACCATTTTCTTGATTTTAACATTGCCAGGGAGTGGAAAAAAATATGATTTAGTGGAGTATTAAGAAGAATATAATGTGAAACTACAACCTATGAATAATGGAGTACATTATGTGGAGAAAATATTGGAAAAAGGAGAAGGAAAAGAAAGTTGATTTTCAATACCGCTATAGTTCCTTGTTTGCTTCATTGGACATTTACATTGTTATTCGCAAACGATCGATCATTCCATTACTGTTCTTTTCGAGTTTCTTACTAAAGTTAAGCAAGTTCAACACTAAGGATGTGATGTCCTTCAGGATAATAGATTTTTAAAGTAGGCGACTTGAAAAATTGATCAAAAAAAAATTAAATAAAGAAGTACCGAATGACCGGAAATAAATGACATTTAACCAGTGAGGGAGATAAATCGTTTTTCCCTGAGTCATATAAACTTTTTGCGGAACTTAAGAAACTGCGATCCCTTGTCATTAGTTGTACTGCAGTTTATTTGACACCTCAATCGACTGTTTTGATAAAATATAACGTTTGTATGAACTTTCTAACCAGGTTCAATTTTTTTCTTCTTTAATTTTAATTATCTTTAGGGATTCTGATGAATTTCGGTGAATTAGAAATTAGGAAAGATGATTTAATTGAATAAATGCAGATTAAAGAATATTACCATTAACAACGTGGACTCTAATGCTGCTTGGATTGGCGTTGCTTGGCCCGCAAGTATATTTTCCCGAGTCACTTGGCACAGCTTTCTGAATCATCAGGCGACTCGTTGTTTCAGGTCCTTTTTCCGTAACGAGGCTGATGCCACCGCGCGGCGAGTCAAAATTTATTTCCTACAAAACCGGTGAATTATGTTACATAAAATTTTTTACTTCCAGTTTTTTCAGACCATTACACAAACATGTACATTAATTTTCTCTATTATTCGGATTTTCAAAGTGCATTTAACTTCCCGACATTTTTAAAGATGAGACATAAATGACCCCATTCCTTTTTTTACTCCATCAAAAAAAAAACTAGACGTTCTTTTAACTAATTTCCATATTTACTCGTTTCATAATAATTGATTAATTTACCACAAACTAAATCTACATTACACTAAAAATGCTTTTAAAAAAATTGCAGTCATTCAGTGAAGAGAAAAAAATAGTTTCTGGAACAAGTAATCCAATTTATTTTATATTGTTCATCAGATCAATTCTGATCAGTAATTAAACGTCTGTAAAATAAATCAACCAATCAATGCCCGTTCCAACTTTAAACAAAAAAATACCGTAGAGAAACGCAGCAAAAAAAGAAGAGAAATAAAAAAAATAAAATTGAAGTGATGTACAAGGTGACATGAATCAGGTGTCAAATTGTCTGAAGATAAGTTAATTGATCGCCAATGGGTATTGAACATGAATAGTTTATTGGTGTGTGAGGAGAATACGTTTTGCGACCGAAACGTACATCACAATAGGACATTTGACTAAGCGTAGTACTCACCTCACTGTTATGACTCCAAACCATCATTGGAGGCGGCTCGGGGGCATATTTGACGAGACAGGTTAGGTTGATGGTGCTTCCTTTGTTGACGAAAAGATCTGGAGCTCCCACTATTAACGTCACCGGTTCTAAAACATCAGTAAATTTTGCTAGATAAAACAATTCCCTGTAGGGATACTTGCTTTTGATATGAATGTGGAAAAGAGACCGGCGAAATAATGTATACGATGTTTCTTTATCATTTGGAGTGATAGTGTATGACGTCAAGCGGGAGAAAGAGAGATTCATGATTACCATGGAAAATGGGGTTGTCTTGAAATGGTGACTAGAAAATTTAGTGGCAAACATTGCGAAGTTAAGTATTTGTCTATTTCTCTACCTGAGGTATTATTCTCATTCCTTATAGTTCAATGTCTCTCACCCTCTCTTTTTCTCGCTTCATATCTTCCAACCCTTTTTCCGAATAACTCTGTGACAAAAAGTGGAGGGGATGAGAATGGATTAAGAAGTTAAACGGACAGTGTTCATTCAAAAGTTGAGCTGCTGACATGAGGGAAAATTTCGTGGAGTGCTAACAGAAGGAGAATAATAATTTGGTATGTTAATTTCTACTGCTTGTAATTATGATTGCTCTTAAGATCTGGGCTTCCTCCCCCTGCTGCTGATAAAACCTCTCCCTTTTCTTAAGGCAAACACTGAATCTGTCCAAAATGATGCAATGAGCTTATACGGCTCTGCTGAATTATCAATTTTACGTTTCATTTAAGAAATACGTCATTAATATATACTGATGGCGATAGGAACACAGACAAAAGGATCAATATTTTGGATGATAGTCAGTCGACTCCGAAAAAGAATTCTGCAATCAAATCAAAGCCGATCTGGGAATGCCGGAGGCTACCACACGAGGTGGGCTCAAGAAACAAACTTTTATTGATCTCCCAGGACCCTCGGGAATCGAGCAAGCGGAGAAAGCATATGTCTTGGCATGTATGAGTCAGAAAAAAAATGTTAGAATCTGATTTGACAGTCGCAATGAGGCCAAACCTGATTCAAGGAGCAGGAAAGACGAAGCCAGAAGGAGGAAGAATAGCATTGGACTGGAATCAAGCTAGGAAGATAGACGAGGACCTTGTAGCTGCCAAAACTTAACAAGAGTTTCGTGAAGAACCTTCTAAAACTCGATAAGGTTCAGAATTAGAATTAGTGACCACGCCTCGTCTCTCGACTTTCGATACTTTCAAGATATATTAAGAGTTTTGACGTCGAAGTATAAAGATGTCCACTGTCGATTATTGTCCAGTATCATTAGAACCTAAATATCCACAAAACCGGTTGTACCCACCGGATGAATCCTTTCTTAGCACAATCGGTTTTTTTAAAAACCCACTAGACGACTGGTCTAGGCAAATTCGAGTACTGCTAATTTCAACTCCTTCTGTAGATTCAATACCAAATTTATAATTTAGATTTCAAAGTACGTGATTTAGGAATCAGTAGATAACAAACATCCGCACGAAAAGAGGAACACTCCTGTTTGCATTATCGCAGACTAATGACAATGAGGCATGTGATCGGCATAAAGACGTGCAGAAACTCAAGTATATGCTTTGCTTATGATTCTCACGTACGCAAAGTTAGTCTGCATTTCCTCAAATGCGGATCCATTCACATGGTGATAGGACAAGGATAAAATCATCAATACTTTAATAGTTGCAAAACATTAAAATAATAAAATAACTTTCTGGTGAATTCCGTTCTTGATTTTCACCTTTATTGTTTTTTAACTGATATTTTAAAACAGATTGCACATTTCAGTTCTGTAAACACGTTAAAACTTGGGCACATGTAATTTCCCAAATTGAACCTAATGTACACAAAATTATTCAAATTTATTCAATTCCGCTCCAAATGTACACTACAAACAATTTTATTGGATCAATAAAGAGTTTATAATGTTATGATACGCTTTTATGTAAATGAGGGCATAATATTTTTTTAAGTAGTTATTTTTTTTACTTAAATGGAGAATAAACCGAAATTCAAGTCTATGAGGAATTATAGTTATTAGTCATGATTACCTAAATGTGCGGGAGAGAATTTTATTTGTTTGCTTTTGTGAAAAAAAATATGGAATCTTACCAACTACTGTCAGATAGACTGGATGACCAATAGGAGGAGTTGTGGAGATTTGGCACTCGTAAATTCCCGAATCTTTGCGCTGGGGATATTTTATCCTCAAGGTCCATTCTTCGGAGTGTGGTGAGTGAAGTGCTTCGAAACGTTGATCGCTTGTGTAGGTGTATCGACCTACAGTCAATAAGTGTATATCTCGATGTCTTATCCACGAAACCTGAAAGATAAAATTACATTCACGTTAATTTATCACCAAGAACAATTTACGTCTTTTGATTCCTTGATGCAAATGCAAAGGAGAATAGATTAGATAATGGGTCATGTAGGACAAACAATGATTAAAGTGTAGCTAAATTACGAAACAGATTACAGCTGAAATATAATCTGTGTATCAAGGGAATTTCAATGCTAACCTGAGAGGTATCAGAATCATTATCGAACACACTTCATTGAGTTGGTTACACCATTTCTAATAATTTATGTGCCACAGTAAGCTTTAAATCTCCTTACATGTGATGTTGATGTAATATACCTTAAGGGTCAGCACGTAATGACCGGCAACTTGTTGTCAATTATTTAGAAGTATAAAGCCCTTGTAGTACAAGAGCTGCACGTGTACCAATTATTGACCCCCCGAGAGTTTTTAGAAGTTCTCTGATTTATTAAAAAGCATTAACCTAGTGGGTATGGGGACATTAGCTAATTTGATGTGATCGATTTTTTTTAATCGAAAACAGTTTTATCCTCATCCTAAATTAAGTTCAATTCTGAATTTAAAACACGGAAAATAGGTATATTCAAAAAGGTTTCTTTTTTGACGTAACAAGTAACAAAATATTTACCCAATAAAGTTAATTATACCTCTGTCAAAAATCGGAAATCATCAAATAAAATTACTCATATTTTTTATTTACTTTTACAACTGCGAATTGCAGTCTCTTTTTTTAATGAAACCGGAAATTATTTTTTTTTGAAGACAGGGCAACGAATACTTTTTAATTGAATTTTCTCAATTTGATGATATATGGTAGCAAAATATTGACATACACAGGAACATCCACTTTGATTTAAAATTTTTTAATTGGCCTTTTTTTAAATTGATAAGCTTTACCTTATATTCACGCATTCTAATATTTGTATTTTGAATTCCGATAACTAGGTCAAAATTGATTTTAAATATTGTGGAATCTATAAATAAGTTTAAAAAACTTAAAAATAAGTTACTTAAATTAAAAGAATAATCGTATTTTTATTCCACTCAATAGTAATTTATTAAAAGGATTTTAACATTTAATTTCACAAATGAGGTTCTCTAAATTCCTGGACATAATTTTATTTTAAAACTAAAATCACTGAGACCTTTAGCAAATATTATTACCTTTTAGGTGTATGGGAGTATACATACTGAAATGCTTGGGTAACGCGTTTGACCCATTTACGTCATTTGATGATACAGAAAAAAAGGGGTATTAAAAATATTTTTTTATCAAATATTTGGATATTGTTCGAAAAATTCTTTCTGCCATTGCAAACACTTTTTTTTTCGTTTTACAAACAGTCGGAGATAATTGCTTGTTATAAATAACAGAGAAACTTTTTATTATTCCTTGGTTTTTCACGATTCATCCTCCTAGACTATATGCTTCTTTTTAATTTATTTTTACTTTCATGTTTCCTCACTGACGTTATGAAAATATGTACCTGCACTCTCTCGAGAGACGAACAAGACTCAACATTTTTTAATTTCTTTCATCTCGAATAAAAAATCGAGTATAATATGAATGTCGATAAAGTTAAAAATTTTAAGTTTCGGTATGTGAAAAATAATTGTAGTAATTATTGTTAGTTAATGATGATGCGGTGAAATCTATACGATCATTTGACACAGATTATGAATCAAACGTATAATTATTAAATAGGAGACATTAATGTATAAACCTATTCTTTGTTAAAACGTTTCTAAAGGCTTTTAGTATCAGTTTAGTTCTCCTTTGAATGTCGTAAGTAAACATGGTTTCCTCTTTCAATTAAATTCAACCCTTTTATTTACAGGTCGACAATTATCATGAAAACACACATTCAATTTAAAATAGAATTATTTGATTTAACACATATTTACATTTCTGGAAAATTCATGAAATCGTTTTTGTTGTTGCTTTCATAATTCATCTTTTGAGAATGTACTCACCGCAGAGTAATACGAAACTTCAATAGAAAAAAAAATTTTAAAGGTATTATTGTTTATTGTGAACTAGTGTTTACATTTTCCAACCACACTTTGGACGTTGTTACATCTTTAACAATGTTTTCTCATTCAAGAGAGTTTGCAATTTTGCAAGTTGTATTTTTTACTGAATTGAAAATGGCATCTACTTCAAATAATAAGAAGTGTACTAAGTATAGTAGGGAAATTGCACGTTGTGTTCTGGATGTAAACTTCCTTATCATCCGAGCTGTGCAATGCAGACCTCTACTTTGCCTGATGAATCATTTGCTAAATGCTGTAAACCAAGGTCACTGTCCCCATTAGCTGATTGTCAGTGTTCACAGTCTTCTGCCAATTTGGAGTGTAATATGATTAAAGCAATTAACTCAACCTGTCTCTAAAAACTTTACCACAATGTCAAAAAATTTTGTGGACATAAATGCCAAACTTGATAACACAAACTGGATGATTCTATAGACTCACCCATATGGAGGGTAGAGTGGTTTATTTGACGGATCGTCTTGCTGTTGTTGAGGAGAGACTTGACAAGTATCAGGCTGTTCACAAATAGTTAAACCAGTACTGGTGACCCATGTCTTCATCAATTGTTGATTGGTTGGAAAGAAAGTGTAATCTAGTTTTTGTTAATCTTCCTGAAGATAAAACACGAAACACAGACTCTAATACCTTGAAAGCTGTTGTCATTAACAAATTCAAAAAGTTTACTAAATCAACGGATCTTGATGGATTTCGAACATTCAGAATTGGTGGTCGTGGAATTCCCACAATTATCAAAAACCCTTCTCGCAAATAATCTAGTTTTGTTTTATCTTCCTGAAAATAAAACACCAAACACAGACTCTAACACCTTAAAAGCTGTTGTCATTAACAAATTTAAAAAGTTAACTAAATCAACGGATCTTGATGGATTTCGAACATTCAGAATTGATGATCGTGGAATTCCCGCAATTATCAAAAACCCTTCTCGCAAACTTACTTCAACTCTCCTGGTTCAGGTAGTCGGGTCAACAATTATGCAACTTCTAATTTCGTCTTAAAATCTTCTATCATTATTCCCATTAGTGATCAAGTGTATTCAGTTCGATTCAATTTTCCCAGATTTTAGATCATCCAGTAAAAGTCTGTGTGATGGTCACCGCAGGCAATACACGTTCAGCAGGGCCAAACATACGTGCATGTAATAATACAATCATTATTAATGCGAGGCTGACTAAATTTCTACCCGATTAGGTTTAGTCCACGTACGATGTAACACTACAATAGCAAACCGTATTACCATATGGCGAAGTGTTCACTCTAGCAACGAATTCAGCTGGGCGAAACGTGCGCACAAAACCCGACTCTAATAATAATAATAAACACTTTTCCCAAAAGTAGCACAACTACACTCTACTCCATTTTCCAAAATTAATCTTTCTAAATTTACGAAAACCAAATATCGTAGTCGATTTCCCAAAAGCCACAAAGATCTGAATTATTCACTGTAAGTCCTGGTCGATTGACCAGGAGCTAAAACTAAGAGACGAAGCCAGACTATGTCGTTGGCATTAACCGCTTTATCGTTCGATGAAATCCAACCGAAATCTATGTGACAGGGCCGGGGGTGTAAATCGCGGTCACTCGCACAAGTGCGAGGGCGTTGGGGCGATTGTCGGAATTACACAATCGTGCCACCATGCGGGCATGGTCACCTAGATCGATTTCCGCACATGCATTGCACGCTCGTTGCTCCTTGCTTTTCTCCTCTATATACACCTGCACCAGTATTAGTTCTGGTCCTGTAGTTTTATCCAACTCGCGTATAATCCCGACAGCAAAAACACGTGGGAGAAATTCTGTTAGACACACCTTTTCACTGCTCTTTTTTCCCATTTTTTTCTTAAAACACCTATATAGCTGGACGACAAAAATATACTATTACAAATAATATTGAAATAGCGGATTACAATTGATTTATTATTATTTTAGCAGGAGCGGAATTAGATATTCAGTATTTATGGGTTTGCTTTTAGTATATCAATGTATTGCTGTTAAATATTCACGAATTACATGTTTAATTTGCAGAAATTTGATGATTGATCAATGCACTGAATATGAATAATGAAAATTTTGAATTTATCACTGACGACGTATTTTAGTAGGTAGCTGATATTGATTGTGGAGTTTAGTTTACTAATCGCTCACTAGTGGAGTAATGGCTAGTATACTCATTTATTTTAATTTTTCGAATCGTCTGTCCCTTTTTTCTACTTGACTATTGTGAATGAAAAAGACCAAAAAAAGTTCTAGAAGGTGCTGAAGATGCAGAGGATTCATAACATGATCATGAAATAGACGATTCAATGTACGTTGAAAAAATAATTTTACTATCCAGTCCAGAAATATCCTGCTCACAGCAAGATGCCTATCGACAAAGAAGAGCAGAAAAAGTTGTCTTGATGAGTAAGTCTAAACCAATGTTATAGACAGAGTATAGCAGAAATAGTTGTTCTGATGAGTAAGTCTAAACCAATGTTAGCCGGAACTCTCACAAATTTTTTAAAGAAGTTTTAAAAAAAAAATTATATAATAAAATCATATATCTCTAAAAAAGATATTATATTAAATATATTATTTACTTTTTGTTATTAAATGTTTTTATTTATTTCTATTTTGTAATTTGTTTTCATGTTTATATCCCTGTTATTTCATTCTGGGTTTATTACCAATTCATAAATTAGATTGTTCTCGGTATGACGTCCATAGAATAATATCCATCAAAACCACAAGCGAATATTGAGCGGTTACCAAATCTTGCCATTGCACAATTTATTCCACTAAATATCCTTAAACTCGTGACCTATTGTCATTGAACGATTGATTGCTAACCAAATAATCTATTGTTCAAAACGCAAAAGGAATTCTGTTGTTAAAGATATGAATTAGTTTCATTTTCCATTTTATTTTCCGGTTTAAGGTTATATTACTCAGAGGTCACGTGTTTCAATCAT